TAGCTATCACACACCTTACTCCCCTCAGCGCGTGCAACCACACCGGGTGAGACCCGTGAGGGAGGCCCAGCGAGGCGCCCGCGAGCAGGGAGGGGTGTGTGAGGCGCAGATGGGATGGGCGTAATCTCACTCAAATGCGGAACACTTGCAATCACTTTTTGTTATAAAAAGAGGGTACAGTGTACAAAAAGGTAAAACGTAAAGTAGGGCACAGCGTAAGTAGTGACCTTTACGCTTACCTTATTAACAGTCCGACGCAGGAAATGCGCCAGCGACGCCTCGACGCCAAACGGAGCGAACTCGACGTCGGCGGAGTCAATCACTAGCACAACACGTACACAACACAGGAGCGCACTAGACACGTCCGCACTGTAGCACGGCCCGCGACGAACTGGTGAGGTGGCGACTCCTACTTGTCATCTGCTGGGGTGTGTACTACACCCAACAGGTTTCGGGTCTCGGGGCATTTCCCCCATTTCCCGGGTGATCCTCACAACCCATTTCTATGGGTCGGTCCTTGTTGCCGATAAATCGGGATGGTTGGTCTTCTGGTTTTTATATGTGTCTGATTTGGTATTCTATTAAAGGCGCCTAATTCGGCCTCTGCCTGAAAAAGGCGCCTAATTTGGTTTATGTCATCTTAATTTCGCCTGGCCAGTTATGTCGACTGTGTAATCGACACAATTGGCCTGGGTGTCGAAGTTGGCTTATCTGCGGCATTTGGTGGCGACAGTGGTGGTTCATCTCCTTGTGGAGGTTTTCATGTGTCGAGGAGACCCTCTTTACATGGGCGGCATCTCAGGAGGACACGACCCCCCGGTCTTGGGTGCTGCGTTGGCAGCTTATATGTAGGTGTATTGCGCACCTCGCGCCATCACGTCGAGTGTCGGGACGCTCACTCACCCCCGGCGTCCCCTGTGCCGGGCAGTGAGCGTAGAAGTTCACGTGGGAGTGGTCGCCCGTCAGGTGGGCGGGCGTGGAGGGGAGCAAGATTTTGAAGGTGAAGGTGTGGCCCGTTGTCTGCGCGGTCGAACAACCGTCTCGCAGAACGGACCACAAAATCATGGATGGTTTCGACCTTGAGGTCGCGAGAAATGATGTCATTCCTGACGTAGCGACCGGCTCCCACGATCACCCGGAGCGCAAGATTTTGCTGGGCCTGCAACCTCTTGCGCTGAGTGGCCGAGGTCAACGCGTACCAGGCTGGTGCTGCGTAGGTCAGCCGCGAGCGGATGTAGGTTTTGTAGATACCTATTTTCGTTCTTGTTGGGAGTTTGGATGCCAGTATAGGGTATAGTTTCGCTCGCGCCGCTCTGGCCTGTCTCACAACGTGATTGACCATCGGGGTCATGCGCAGCGAGCGATCTATCTGGCATCCTAGGTACGTAATGGTACTACTCCAACCCACATCCTGCCCGCGGAGTTGCAGAGTTGGTGGTGTTCTGGCCAGCCTGGTCATGAAGGCGACGGTCTTCCCGACATTGACCGCCAGCCTCCATTTGTCCAGCCACTCAGGCAAGAGGTCGAGTACCCGCTGCAATTTCTTAGCAGCTATGTCCACCCGACGTGATGACGCGAAGTACGCACTGTCGTCGGCGTACAAGGCTAGGACAACGTCATCCTCCCATTCCTCCAGATGGCCTTGGAGGGTGGGGATGTCGTTTGTGTAGACCGCGTACAGGTGCGGTGATAGGCAGCTGCCCTGTGGCACTCCCGCAGAAATCGGTCGTGCCGCCGAAACAGCCCCTTCCAAGGAGACATGGAAGCTCCGCCCCTCCAGGAATGACGCTATTAACCGCACAAGCATGGGCGGTAAAGTGGTGTGCTGAATGAGTTTATAAACTAGCCCTGCGTGCCACACCCTGTCAAAGGCCTTCTCCATGTCGAGAAGGACCCCCACACAGATGCGGCCGAAGTTATATTCGGCCGCAAGATAGTGCAGCACGCGGGCCAGCTGAGACGTGGTTGAATGTCCCCTGCGGAAGCCAAATTGCTCCTCCCGCAGGGTAACATGTGGGAGTACCCTATTCAGGGTGATTTTTTCGAAGAGTTTTGCTATGTGCGGCAATAGCGTTATGGGGCGGTAGCTGGCCGGGAACCTCCTGTCTTTTCCCGGCTTCGGCAGCACGATGATTCTGCCCTGCTTCCAGATGGTCGGGAAGTGGCCAGTCCGTAAGATGCCATTGTACAGACTGGTGAGTGCCACTATTACCCTTCTGGGCAGCTGCTTTATGGCTGTGGTGGTGATGCCGTCGTAACCCGGCGCTTTACGGCTAGGTAGGCGCATAATAGTGCGCCTTACCTCTGCTGGAGATATGAAATCGCCGCCTCGCAATGGCGGCGCCGGGTTAGAGAGGTATTCCCGTACGCGGTCCTCTATGCCTTGTACGTGGTCTGCGTACCCCTCTGCTATGCTGTTGGGTATGAACTGTTGTTCTAGGTGCTGTGCCATCAAGTCCGCTCTAGGTTGGGCGTCGTAAATCCTACTCCCCGTGCTGTCCACCAGTGGGCAGACAGGTGGTGGTGTCTTGGAGAGCTGCCGATTGAGGAGATGCAGGGAGGCGGGTGTCTCCGAGGCTTCGTCGACTCGCCTCTCCCATGCTTCTCCCCTGTAAGCTCTCATTGCTTCCGACAGCTCTTCCGTCATAGCGTTTAGTTTGGTTTTGATCCGTGGGCATCGTGTCCGTGCCCAGAGCCTCCTCATCTTCCGCTTCTCGGATAGAAGCGTTTGCAGATTGCGTGGGAGTCCCTCCTTCCCGCGCCCCGTGGAGACAGGGTGAGAGTGTAGTTGGAGTTGCTCTTTTATAGTGTTGTGAAGATGTAGGGCCGCAGTCTCTACATCTTCACTGGTGGTAATTGGGGCGCAAGGTTGGAAGTCCTCCAGCGCACTACAAAAGCGGGTCCAATTTGTCTTCATTCGGAGACTTCTGGGCACCATGGCATCCACACTGGTGTCGATAGTAATCAGCACGGGGAGGTGTTGTGTATCTATGTCATACAACACTTCTAACCGTGTTGTATACGGCACTAGATGACACAGCACAATGTCAAGAACATCGGGCTTATGTTCTGGCCTTGTCGGGATATGGGTGGGCTCATCAGGGCCCAGCACCTCGTACCCCCACTCCTCGGCGTCGTCGAACAGTTTCCTGCCGGGTGGTGTGATCAGCGCGGAGCCCCAAGCGGGATGTTTCGCGTTGAGGTCTCCGGCGATAATTGCGGGTGTCGTGGAGTCAAATATGGTACGTATGTCTTGGGGGGCAAATGAGGTGCCGGGAGGTCTGTAGGCAGCAAAGATTCTAATTTCTCTGATGCCTACCTTCAGCCTTATACCCTTGGTTCTGGTGGATATAAATTGTGTATTGGTGCCAACTTCTTCGTGCATGACGTCCCTCCTCACAAGGACCGCAGTACCTCTGTACGCGATACCTTCTGAGGAGATCTCGTCATGTCGGTACACGAAGAAGTTGGGGAGTTTTAATTGAGCAGAGGGGCGCAGTTTGGTCTCCCCCAGCAGCACAATTTGGATATTGTGCTGCTGGACCAGGGTTCTCAGGTCGGCGACCTTCCCTAAGATGCCGCCGGGGTTCCAATAACACATCCTAAGTGGATGGCCTGCTGACGGAGGTTAACTGGGCTAAGGCCGTTAGGATGGCCGAAAGGGGGTTGGTGCCGGTGGTCATGGCAGTCAGGACCTCTCCTAAGATCCTGATTACCACGCCCACCAGTTGAGCGAGGGCCTCCTCGATGGTGGTTGGTGCCTGGGGCTGTAATGGGGGTGCGACAGTTATTGTCTTTTTGGGTGGGCGTTGATCTCGGGGTTGGAGTGCAGATTGCTCGTTCTGATTTGATGGAGGGAATGTATACCGCGGTTGTGGCAGTGGTTGCTGTTGTTGTGTGGTAGTGACGAGTGGAGGAAGAGGAGTCGAAGTACCACCCACTTGAGCTGGTTGGGTGGTTGCCTTCTTCTTCTTCTTTCCTCTCTTTTTCTTTGGGCGCTCTGTGCGCTCCGTGGCGTTATTCGCCGGTGGTGCTAAAGTCGCCCCGGTCGTAACAAATGTGGTTGGTGCAGGTGTGATTGTTACCTGCCGCTGTTGCGGTTGCGGTTCCTGCCTTTGCGGATGTTGCTGTTGTGAATAATGCTGCTGTTGGGGTGGGTAGTACTGAGGTTTTTGAGGCGGTGGTTGTCGTTGTGGTGGTGGAGGTTGCCAATGCGGTGCAGGTGGTTGGCTTTGTAGTGGGGGTGGTTGACGTTGTGGTGCTCGTGTTGTTTGCGCGGGGATAGGGTGTTGCATATTAATCCCCCTCTTCCTTGCAATTCGCTGCAACACTGGGCACCGCCTGTCATTCGCCGAGTGATCTTTCCCGCAGTTTGCGCATTTAGGTTGCGCATCCCGCGGTTGTGGGCATGCTGAGGCCAGGTGGTCACCTGCACAGCGTACACATTTGAAGGGTCGGTAGCAGTTGTAGGATGCGTGTCCGAACCCTTGACACCTGTGACACTGCGCAGGGCCAATTCTGCCTGTCCAGCCTTCAATTGTTACTCCCGGCATGTAAAGGAGCTCATCAATTTGGTATAATCTGTTGAGCTCTTCGGGGCTTAGGTGACTCATTTTCACGTGAAACAGGCAGCCAGGCCTGCCTCTTTTTGGTGGAATTGACCGTACAAATGTAACTGGAAAGCCCTTCTCTATGAGGGCCTCCTGTATGTCTTTAGGGTCTGTATCGGCAGGGAGCCCTCTTAACCCCACCTTCGTGGGTTGCTCCTCCTGTGGGGCGTAGCAATACCACACGAAGGTGGCATCCTCCTTGCTTTTATCGATGAGGTAGCGCTGGACCTTCCTATATTCGTTATCGGACTGGGGCCGAAAACGGACTCCCTTTCCAAATGGACGAGCATTTGGGGCATGGCCCAGAAGCTGGTGTAAAATTTTGAAGTGCTTCGCCCAATCGGGGAAGCACTCCACTATAATAGGAGGGTATTTGGCCTGGTTATTTACTGGCTGTTGTGGTTTTTGTACAGGTGGTGGTGGAGGTGATGGTGGCGCTGATCTCGGCGCTGCTGCAATTTGCGCATAAGAGTCCGGCGCAGAAGATGGACCAGGTATGGGCTCCTGGTTTGCAGGTTGGGAGTCTTGTATTGGGGCTATAGTGGCGTAGAACGTATTGTCCCACTCTCTCTCCCCTTCCGGGTCTTCCTCACCGAAATCCTGCATGTCAGCGGTGCAGGCCGGAGAGGTGGTTGGAGACGGTGAGTTTGGCGGAATGTTATGCCTTACCACAGGTTGTGAGGCTTGTCTCTCGGGTGGGGTTACCGAGGAAGGAGGCGATGCCGAATCAGATAATGAGTCTGATCCGGCTCTCAGCCTTTTCTCCTCTTGGAGCTGGTCTTCGTCTATTTCAGGAGGTGTACGTCTCCGCGAGGCTAGGCTCCGGCGTGGTAATGGAGCCAGTTCTGCGCTCGGTGAAGACACAGCTTCACCTGCGCCGAGCGCGGCGCCGGGCGCCGGTATACTGCCTATTCGCCTCGGGAGTTGGCTGTAAGGTGGGAGCACTCTAGATCTCTCAGGAGCGAAGAGGTCTCGCTCCATGAGGGGCCTGTCGAGTACTCCCGGACGCCTATCAGGTGGTTTACGGCGTGTTGGGGGAGGTTCCCCCTTGTCCGACATTACTAATTAATTATGCTCAGCCCTTAGCTATCACACACCTTACTCCCCTCAGCGCGTGCAACCACACCGGGTGAGACCCGTGAGGGAGGCCCAGCGAGGCGCCCGCGAGCAGGGAGGGGTGTGTGAGGCGCAGATGGGATGGGCGTAATCTCACTCAAATGCGGAACACTTGCAATCACTTTTTGTTATAAAAAGAGGGTACAGTGTACAAAAAGGTAAAACGTAAAGTAGGGCACAGCGTAAGTAGTGACCTTTACGCTTACCTTATTAACAGTCCGACGCAGGAAATGCGCCAGCGACGCCTCGACGCCAAACGGAGCGAACTCGACGTCGGCGGAGTCAATCACTAGCACAACACGTACACAACACAGGAGCGCACTAGACACGTCCGCACTGTAGCACGGCCCGCGACGAACTGAGGGTGGCGACACTACGTAATCGTCTGCGTGTGTGCTATGCACACAGCAGGTATCGGGCCTCGGGGCACGCCCCCTTTGCCCGGGATCTCCTCGCGGTGCATTACTATGCACCGGTCGTGGGAGCCGTTACGGCGTTGTAGGTATGACACAGCGACTCGGGTTTGATTCCCCGGTCGCTGTAATCAGATTGGTAAATCTTCATCTTCATGAAATAATTTTTTCAGGAGTCGTGTAATATGGCCCGCTCCTGAAAAAGTGGTATAGTAAGGTCTGTTTTCTTGAAAGGCGCCTAATTCGGCCTAGCCTGAAAAAGACGCCTTGTTCGGTTTAAGGTGTTCTTGTCTTGTCCGGTTAAAGTGGCCGGGCGGCTAATGCGGCCCGGCGTCTTGGTTGGCCTGTCTGCGACATTGAGGGTTGTTACTCGACTCTCTAATCTCTATAGAGAGGAGTTCTCTTGGCAGAGGTCGCCCGTCCGGAGGCCGAGCATGTAAAGGTGCTAAGTTCTGAAGGTGTTCGTGTGGCCCGTTATCTGCGCGGTCGAACATACCGCGCGCTAATCGGGCCACAAATTTCTCTACTGTCTCCATCTTTAGGTTGGCCGCGATGACGTCATTCCGGACGTAGCGACCTGCACCGACGATGGTCCTTAGTGTCAGGTTCTGCTGGACCTGTAGTCGCCGCTTCTGATGATCGCTCAGGAGCGCGTACCAGGCCGGCGCAGCGTGAGTAAATCTTGATCTAATATATGTTTTGTAAATTTTAAGTTTGGTTTTAATTGGCAATTTTGAAGTTAGGACCGGACGCAGCGCCGCCCGCGCACATCTGGCGTTACGGACGGCGACATCGACGTGCGCGGTCATGCGCAGCATCCGGTCAATCCGGCATCCCAGGTACGTTACCGTCTTCTGGTACTCGATCTCCTGGCCCCTGAGCGTCAGTGGTGGTGGAAAATTCCTATAACGGCGAGTGAGCAGAGCGGTCGTCTTGCCAACATTGACGGCCATCCTCCACTCATCAAGCCATGGTGGTAGCAGGTCCAGCAGGCGCTGCATCCTGGCAGTGGCTATGTGGGCTCTTCTAGACGATGTGAAGTAGGCACTATCGTCCGCGTATAGCGCTAATTCAACATCGTCTTCCCATTCGCGCAGGTGGTCTGCCAGGGTAGGGATGTCATTGGTGTAAGCCGCGTACAGGATCGGCGAGAGACAGCTGCCCTGTGGTACGCCGGCTCTGATTGGTCTCGCTGCGGACTCGGCGTCCTCTACACAGACGTAGAACTTCCTGTCTTTAAGGAATGACGCCACTAGCCGCAACATAGCAGGAGGGGTACTTGTTTGTGTATCTAATTTATATAGTAATCCAGAGTGCCACACTCTGTCGAACGCCTTCTCTATGTCGAGAAAGACGCCCAACGATGTGCGGCCGCGGTTGTACTCGGCCGCCAAGTAGTGCAGCACCCTGGTCAGCTGTGTTGCTGTAGAGTGGCCCCTCCTGAATCCGTGCTGTTCCGCCCGAAGATGTACGCACGGGCGGAAGCTTCTCAGCAGCAGTCTTTCAAACAGTTTAGCTAGGTGCGGTAGCAGCGTGATCGGCCTATAACTGGCTGCTCTACGTCTGTCCTTCCCGGGTTTTGGCAGAACGATTACTTTGCCGATTTTCCAGTCCTCCGGGAAGTGGGATGTCCGCAGTATACCGTTGTAGAGTCGACCTAACTCTACAAGTGCTCTATGGGGCAGCTGTCGAAGTGCTGCGTTGGTTATCCCGTCGTGCCCCGGCGCCTTCCTGGGTTGCAGGCGGGCTACTGTCCTCCGCAATAGGGCGGGGGATATAAACCACTCTCCTGCAAGCGGTGGCGCGGGCTTCGACAGGAACTCCTGTACGCGGCTCTCCTTCCGGGTATGTAGTTCCATGAACTCCGCACTTGCTGGGTTCGGCATAAATTGCTCCTCGAAGTGCTCTGCTAGGATATCCGCTCTACCTTTGGCCTCGTAACAACGTTCGCCCGCATTGTTGGTCAGCGGGCAAACGGGGGGTCTGGTCTTAGTTAACTGCCGGTTCAGTTTGTAGAGCGACGCATCTTCCTCCTCTGCTTGCGATATGCGCCGCTCCCAGGCCTCTCCTCGGTGGGCCCGGACTGCAACCGACAGTTCATCCGATAAGTTATTCAGTTGTGTTTTTAATCTTGGACAGCGAGTACGCGCCCAGAGTTTCCTGAGTGCTCTTTTGCGTTTGAGCTGCACGCATATATCTCGCGGCAGCTCTTCCCGTCTTCCTGTGGTCGGGACGATCGTAGAGGCCGCGTGTAGAGCCTCTTTAATCGTCTTTGTTATTCTTGTTGCAGCGGCCTCTACATCGTCCGCTGTGTTGATAGGGGTGAAAATTGGAGGTCTCTCCGTTAGATATTTTTGGTAGAGCCTCCAATTGATCTTTCTCTTGATAGCTCCGGGCGGCGTAGTCGCTGCCCTGAGGCCAATGGTAATGAGAATCGGGAGGTGCTGAGACATCAGGTCGTACAGCACCTCTACCACTACCGGGTAGTTGACGTTCCTAGAGAGCACAATGTCCAATACATCCGGACAACTTCGGTGGTCTGTAGGAATGTGTGTAGGTTCTTCGGGACCTAAAACGTCATAGCCGTGTCTTTCGGCGTCATCATAGAGTTCACGACCCGGCGGAGTGATCACTCTGGAGCCCCACGCCGGGTGTTTCGCGTTTAGGTCCCCCGCGACGATGGTTGGTGTATCGCCTTCCATTACCGTCCGGATGTCTGAGGAGCAGAATGGAGTCCCTGGCGGGCGGTATGCTGCGTAGATCCTTAGTTCCTCGCCCGCCGCCTCCATTTTTATGCCGATAGAGCGCATCGTTTCATATGGTGGTAAGTCCAGTTCTTGATGGACGATGTCTCTCCTCACCAGAACCGCCGTGCCTCTGTAGGCGGTCCCTCGAGGATTGACCTCGTCCCTTCTGTATATAAAGTAGTTTGGCAGCTTGAGATGCGTGTTCGGATTTAGTTTGGTCTCTCCCAGCAATATCACCTGTATATCCTGCTGCTGGGCGACAGTGCGGAGTTCATGGATCCTCTGTTGTATCCCGTCTGGATTCCAATATAATAGGCGCAGGTTACTCGCCTCTGTAATGCCGAGCAAGTAGTTGCGCCAACGCTCTCATAATCGCAGTAATTGGTTCCGTCCCGGCTCTTATGTCGGCCAGGACTTGCGCGCCGACCTCAATGGCTATGCCAACCAATCTGAGGATGGCATCTGTATAGCCAGGGCCGGCTGGTGGTATTCCTTGTGAGGTTGGCTCTTGTCTCGGCTGGTTTTGGGCTATTCTTCGTATGGTAGAGCGTGCTCTAGTTGTAGAGCGGGCTCTATGTTCCGGTAGAGCCCTTTCTGGTGCTCTACCTACGGTAATCTTGGTATCCTTGGCGGTAACCTGCGCCTGGGAGGCTATCGTGATCGCTGGCGTGGGGGTAGAGGTGACGGCTTGAGGAGGCTGTGTTTGGTTTTTCTTCTTTCTCCCCCGCTTTTTCTTCTTAGGTACCAGACGCTCAGTAGCATCATTTGCGGGGGGCTGGAGAGTCGCTCCGGTGGTTGCTCTTTGTTGTGGTGGCTCTACGATTTCCATCGGTTGTTGTGGCTGCTGAGGGGGGGGTGGTGGTGGGGGGGCTGTTTGCCTTCCCCCCTTCCCCCTTATGGTTGTCCACCCCTCTTCGTTGACTTGGACGATCCTCTGGCGTCTCTCCGGAATCTGCCTCGGCGCTTCCGGAAGCAAGCCCGGAAGTGTGATACCTTGCTTCCGTGCGATCCTCCTCAATACCGGACATCGTCTATCATTGGCCGTATGATCTTTGGCGCAATTTGCGCATGTAGGTGCTTCATCCCTACCCCTCGGGCATTGGTTTGCAGCGTGTTCCCCCGCGCAACGGACGCATTTTATCGGGCGAAAACAGTTGTAGGAGGCGTGTCCGAAAGCCTGGCAGCGGTGACACTGTGCTGGTCCCACTCGTCCCTGCCATGCTTCTATCACGACTCCTTTCATAAAAAGTAGCTCGTTAACGTTGTAGAGATCCTTGAGCCTTTCTTGGCTTAAATGGTCCAGTTGCGCGAAGTATAGGCAACCCGGTCTTCCTCTGCGCGGCGGGATTGCCTTTACATAGCGAATTGGAAAGCCCAATGCCTTGATAGCCTCTCCTATGGCTCCCGTATCCGTGTCTACTGGCAGCCCCCTAATGCCCACTTTCGTGGGCTTCTCTTCTTCCGGGGTGTAGCAGTACCAGGACATGGCTGGTATTTCTTTGGATAAATCAATGAGGTATCTTTGAATGGTCCGGAATTCTTCCGGGCTCTGGGGGGAGAAGCGCACCCCCTTCCCAAATGGACGAGCGTTAGGAGGGTGGCCCAACTTCTTGTTGAGCACCTCAAAATGCTTCGTCCAGTTTGGGAGGCATTCTGCAACTATGGGAGGGTATCTCCCCTTCCCGGTTTCTTCCTCTGGTTTCGGGGCTTCAGCCTCCTGCCTTGGTACCGCCGGGGCTGCTGCCAGTTGTGCGTAGCTTGTTGACGGACGTTGTCCGTCGTC